GGTATGGTATGGTATGGTATGGTATGGTATGGTATGGTATGGTATGGTATGGTATGGTATGGTATGGTATGGTATGGTACAACTTAACCATTTTCACAAATAAATGTATTGTAGCAAGGAAATCTGAAGATATGAATGTTTCATGTTGTGATGCCACACAGTATATTTAAAACACTGACTACAAATTATGAAGATGGAAACTGTGGTGTGGCAGGCTGTCACCTGTTTGTTTGGATGAGAGCTGTCATAACCAAGAACCAGGTTGGCTCGTCTGGAGTGAAGCAGCAGGTCAGTGGGTTTGAACGGCAGGATGAAGCCCTGCACATTCTTACAGAAGTCAAAGGTGTTCCACAGGTGTTTGTTGGTGGAGTCTACAAAAAGGTACTGGACAAAGAGAGAAAAAAGAATGAGTAAAAATTCTGTTGCAATCATAACTTATTTTTGGCAAGTTACCAAAAAATAAAATTCTTGCACACACAAAGATGTTACCAATGTGAAACACACACTCATTCAAAATAGAAACCCTGGGAAAACATGCAGTTTCAAAATAAAAACAAAGTTTGCAGGTGTGTGCAGAACGACTTGCATTTGATTTCTGATTTTTTGTTGACCTTTTGCAGGTCAGATGGAGACTAACTAATAACTACTAACTAATGGTTAAGATGTCCAAGTGTACTTAGTATGGACAACAGTATTTCAACACACCTATTAAATGTTAAATTCAGATGTTTTAGTCTAGATTTCATGCTTAGGTAAAGAGACATTTTGAACATCCCAACATTCTGGCAACACTTGAGGAAAGGCTATTTTCTTTTCCAGCATGACTGAGCCTCAGTGCACAAATATAAAAACAATTTTGACGAGGTCAATGTGAAAAAAGTAGACTGGCCTGCATCATGTCACAACTTTAACCCCACAGAGCATACCATACCACATTTTTCTAAAGCACTTATACAACATAGCAACTTACCAAAGTGCTGTACAAAAATATAAAAACAACAAATGATAAAACAATAAGACAATTATAAGAAAATAGAAGTCAAAATATCACAGATACAAAGGAAGTGTTCAACATTAGGACAGAGATATTAACTCACTCTGGATTATAAGTCACAGAGAAAATGAGTTTTAAAAACCAAGAGATGGGGCGTGCCTGCCCTTCTGTAGCATCTCATTCCCTGCAGACTCTGTCTGCTCTGGATTTATAAAAGCTCTTCAGGACTGTTAAAAGCATCTGGTCAGACAATCTAAGAGCATGTGATGGTGTGCAAGGGTGAAGCAGTGCAGACATAAATGATGGGCTCAGACCATTAAAAGATTAAAAACAAACAAATTAATTTTAATGACTTTAAAACTGAACAGGAAGCCAATGAGAAGATGCCAAACCTGGAGTTATATGCTCTCGTTTATCTGCACCAGTTAAAAGTTGTGCAGCAGCATTTCACACCAGCTGTCAACGTGAAAGGAAAACTATGCTCAAAAAGTAATAATAATCCAGATGTRAGGTAATAAAAGCATGGATCTGAAAGAAAATATAGTTATTCGTGTTTGTTACCAGGATGTCTGCTAAACCATATGGAGAATGTGCAAATGAAAGAAGAGGATTTTTTAAGAACAGCCAAACAAAACCAAAGCGCACTCTTTGCTGAAGTCTGATTTTAATCGTCACCCGGAAATCAGGCCGAAATAAGAAAGTTCATCAGTTTTAAAAGAAAAGCTTCAGGACATGGCTCCGCTTATCTGATTACATCATCAGTGAGGGAATCCCTGTTATTCTGAAGCCATGCTCCTCAAACATTAAAAACCTACCCTAATAAAAAGTTCAGATATATGTTGGATTTGTTTCCGGCTTGTAGCTATTAAAGGAGACATATCATGCTAAATGCACTTTTTTTTGCATTTATAAACTATTTTTTGTGCAACTGTAGTGTCTAGGAGTGTAGAAAACTTTAATTTATTTTGTCCAGTTACTGCAAAGATATTTTTATATTTTTTATGGGCCAAATTTTTAGTTTGTTCAAAATCTGCTGTTGCTTATTTCGTTTCATTGTTTATTTCGTCACACTATTTTCTTCGGAACTACCATTTATGGTAATAAATTTCCGGTCAGCTGGATTTCATGGTCCGCCATTTTTTTCCTCGCTGTGTGATTTTGTAGTTCATAGCGTCATGCCGAATATGCCAGTTCAGAAGTCAAAATGTTCGGTTCTGAGTGTGTAAACCCACATTATTATCTACATAGACTACCAGCTTCAGAGCTTCTTCAAAGTGCCTGGTTAAGTTTTATTTTTCAAGGAAATGGACCCACAACAGGGCGGAAAGTGCTTGCGGACAACACAGGATGTTATAACAACAAGGGTGAGTTATGACCTGTAAATGTGTTTTAACTGTCTAATTTAGCTGTTTCTACCATCTGTGTCGGAATATGAGGGGAGAAAGAACAGCTGTGTTTAAGTTTCTTTACCGAACGGGTGCTCAGCACCATGTTTTACTTTCACTTTCGCCCCGCACTGTAATCAGTGTGTCCAGTTGTTTTTCTTTTTTAAAATGCTGGAGCGTTTCAAACTGTGATCTAAAGTTAACGTCAGCTGTTTTAAATGCATTTTTTTGCCAGGTGTTAAAAATGGGAGCAGCAGAATGAGGCAGAGAAGCTGTGAGCGCTGTGTGTGTGAAGTCTTCATAAGGATAGCAAGATGGATGTGTCTCTCCTTTTTTCTCTATGCTGCCTTTTTTGCATCAAAAAAGCTGGGAACATAGTCATTTTATGTAACAAAATATATTATTCTTATTAATATACAAATAAAAACAGAATATTTAGCAC